TTGCCCTCCGGCACAGCCTCAGTTGCTGCAGGCACTTGGGAAGGGAGCATCTTCTGTATCTCCTTCTCTATGCCTCTCAAGTAAAACAAAGGAAATAAGTAGAAGTGAATTGAGTTTCTGCCAATAAATAATGTGCAGATATTTTATTATCTGCAAGTTACTGTCTTGGAAATTGGTAGAAGGTGGAAGAGCTTTAGATAGCTCCTTGTAACACTCCCAGGACTCCTTCCTGTGACAGCTGGACTTTGTGTAGAGCAAGCAAGCCATGGGGTTGGCACAGAGTTCCAACTGTGATGATATCAAGCTCAGGCTGCATTTACAGTGTAGATGCCTTTGGTGACATTTTGTTTCTTGAATTGAAATTGGTGAATACTGGTAAATCAGCCCCACTCGGTGCCATCACTGGGCCGCCAGCCTTGGCTCTCTGACATAGAGGCGAGTCTGACTTGATGTGGCTTTCAAATGTGTAGCCCATTTTCCTTCCCCTCTGCCTCTCCTATTCTATGCTTATTTACCCAGAGCCAGTTGGTGCTGCTTTGCCAGATTTTCTTACATTTTATTCAGTGTTGTTATCTTAGAGGTGAGGAGTGGTGCGGAGCGCAAGCACTTCTAAGTGCTGATTCACTTTGCGAATACTTGCCACTGCCAAGTTTGTGCTGGATCTTGGCAGGAGACCAGAAATTCAATGCAGGTTTCCTAATGAGTGACAGGGATCCATTTACTTCAGCCATCACCACTGCTTCCCAGGATCTGCATGAGCAGAGAGATGGCGTCAGGAACTGTAGCTGAAAGACAGGTGCTTCAGCGTGGGATTCAGGCATCTCCAAACATCTAGACTAAACACGACTGTTTGTAAATTTTTTAATTGGGATGTTTGACTCACAGGATTAGTTAACATTTACCTGGGTGGTAAAAAAAAAGAGCATTCTGGCATTGATGTCCTGTGCATTAAGAAGCGCCTTTATTTCAACAACCTGTGTGTGTACACACACACACACACACACACACACACACTGCTTTTGGTTTTATGGAACATGAACTGGAATTGACTAAATCCTTTGAATGTGCTGTCAAGGTGGATTTGAAGAGCGACGGGCATGAAATGACAGTATAGGACAGTTTTTTAAGAGAAAAAAACAATACAAAGTTTAAAAAGAGTGATGGGAATTTTGTAGCAATCATTTTAGAGTTCCCTTTTGAAAAATAAAAAAACAGTGTGATCTTTCTCACTGGGCTCGAAACAGAGCTCCAAAGTACTGGCAAACGAAGCAAAAATAAAGCAGTGAGACAGCATCAAACTAAGAAGCTTCGGAAAAGTAAACAAAATCATTAATAAACTGAAGAGACAGCCCATGCCTGGGGATGGGGAGGGTATTTGCAAAGCATGCAGTGTTAGGAATTAGAAATTAAAGCACTATACTTACCTGGCAGGGGAGATGCCATGATCTCCAAGAAATTAAAGCACTAACATCATTGACAGCTTGCTTAGTTTTGCCACTTAGGCTTTTGCTGCCTCGTAACAGTGTCTGTGAAGGCATTGGCCATCTTTCCCCAAAAGGGTGTCTAACTGCTTTAGTGAGTATTGATTCCATAGCAAATGCAGAAACAGAGTACCTTCTCTTTGACTAGAGATTTCCGGAGACCCTTATGATGTCTAGACCTGTCACTTTAAAATCTGAAGCAGGGAGAATTTGGGCTGTGGACCTAGCAAGGGCAGAGAAACTTGAAGATGAAAATGTGCTTGGACAGTGAGATATGCATGATTCTGAAATGGAAACAAGTGTCAGTCACCTGGGGGGCTTGTTACAGCATGCATTCTTGAACCCTCGCCTGAGTGGGACCTGACAATGATCTTTTTATATAAGCTCCCAGGTGGTGCAGTCACTGCTGCTGGGGACAACAGGGTAAGCATGGTTTTGTTCGAGAAGAACTGGGTCGTAAGAGGAGTGGGTGTAGCCCTGTGAGCTGAGGTCAAGTAGAAGAAAATGAGGTTGGAGAGGGAAGTAACACATTTATTTCTAGATCCCAGAGGAATCACTGAAGTTTCTGCTGGTCCTTACAAACACGTATTTGGATAGTTACAATGCAGTCAATTTTCTAGTAAAATACTTCATGGATCGGAAACACGATCAGTGGAATGTAGACATCATATATAACTCTCTCCATATTGGGACCCTGAACAGCCTTTATCAGATGGGTGACTGCAGCACCGTGGCCCACACTCCAGTTTGGAAGAGTGACACATAGCCAAACCAGGGGGGAGGTGTAATTCAGATCATCTCAGTATTTACGGAAATGTTTTTCCCCATTTGCACAGGATACGTTGTATAATGAGCGCATAACCAAAGCGTGTTTCATGATTTCCAACAGCAAGAAGTGTTGAATCCTTGGGTGAAAATTGTGAAACAATGAAACATGAAACAATTAGATGATTATAGAAGCGGAGGACAGTGCAGAGGGCAATGAAGTACTAAAGTGAATATTAGCATAGATGAAAATTAATGATGCAGATAATAAGTGCTGTGGTCACCAAGAAGGGGGAGAATCCATTTTTGAAATTACCAGGGAATGTTTCCTTTGTGGGAGGCATTTGGCTGGGCTTTAGAAAATGGTTAATATTTGGCAGTTCGAGGGGAGGGAAGAGGAATGAAAAAACCTTTGTCTTCAAATTCAATCAACATGCAAAGAATTATTGTGTTTGCCTCAAGTTTCCCCTATTCTGCTGCCTTTCAAGGGAAATCTTTCCATGTGTTTCTGATTCTTGAGCACAATTGAATTACCAGTGCATTGTCTGGGAGAGCTGTTTGGTCAGGGAGCCCCGTGGGCTTCTCAGGAGCTTTTATCCTTTGAAAGAAGCTGTCCTGATTTGCCATTGTTAATGAAACTTGTACCGCACAATGCTGAAGTTTAAGACCCACTGAGAACATGACCGTGTAGCTCCTTTCATCTCAACATGAGGAACCACATGGCCAGCAGGAACTGCAGCAACACAGCGGCAGTGCCAGTCACCCGGTGTTAGGAATTGTCCTGAACTTTCTTATGTCATCTTCTAATAGCTTTGTCTTAGAGTGATGGCCTGTATTGCTCCCTTTGTTCACCCATAAATACAAAATGTCTTGCCACCCTGAAGTTGAACCCTTTGTGGGCAGGTATCTCTTTTGAGTATGCATCTTCAGGACCCCTGTGTGCTTACATTTCAATATTCTGTGCCCGTGTGAGGCTTACCTTACAAGCTGTGAAATAGACAGTTATTGGAATCTTTTTTTTTTCACTCTGAAAAGTATTTTTGTACATCAGTTCCTAATACATTGGATGAGTTAAAAGGCCTGCCTGTTATACTTGAGGGTCTCTGGGAAATAAATTTACCCTGAATATTAAGATATTTCCTGTTGGTGCAGATAATTCCAGGGTAGAGGCTTATCTTTAATTCCAAGGTTAGGCTAAAAATAGGAGCTTAAAAAAGCAGTTGAGTGGACAACTGAGTCCACTCAGTTGTTGAGAGACATTGGGTCGACCCAAAAAGAGGTTTGAGTGGTAAGAGGGAGATTGTTGTATGTTTTTGGATCACCCATTCTTATTAGTAAAGATTTTAAGAATGTCTCTGAAATCAATCCACTTTTTTGTAAAGTGCATATTGTTTGATTTAGGGGCAAGTGAGAGAGAGAGAGAGAGAGAGAGAGAGAGAGAGAGGCTTCTGGTTTAGGCAAATGATTTTAATAATCAGAGGAGAGAATCCAACAAACTTTTCCCTGGCATTAGACAGCCGGGACCACTTCCACATAGCAGGGTGAGTGCACAAGGGAGCTGGCCTGCCAGAGTATACAACACTGAGCCTTTCTACATCTTAGGTGTGGGGGATGGGAGGAGGTAGCAGTGCCTTGGTTTGCAGATGCATGCAATGTACGGCGTGGGTACTCACCATGGCAGGTCATGAGCAGAAAAGGTTAGGGTGGGAATGATCGCTTGACTTCAGTCCACTTGGCTTCTGAAAAAAATAAATGAGAAAATGATCTCATATTTTCATCTCAAACAATTCTGTTTTGTGTCCTCTAGCGCGTGAGCATTCTGCTTAAACACATCTTGAAAATAGCTATGGTGGTAGGTTAATGTAATGCAGTGGTTCTCAAATTTTAGTTGACTCAGAATTTCCGAGAAGCTTGTAAAGACTGGTTTCCCTTCTCCTTCCAGAGTTTGTAATTAGGTAGAACTGGAATGGAGTCCGAAAAGTCCCATTTCAAATCAGTTCCCAGGTGAAGTTAGCCTGAGGATGACACTTTGGGAACCACTGGTGTGGTTAAGAACATAAGGTTCCAAGTTAGTTTCCGGGTTAATTGAAATCACCTTTATATGACCAAATTTGAGACTTTGGGTGAGTTACTTATCTTCTGTAATCTCAGGGTTTTTTTTTTTTTAACTCCGTGAGATTCAGGTAATCTTAATCATCTCTTGGAGTCACCAGCAAGCCTAGGGACAAAGAGAAATTGCTCACCATCTGGCAGTAATCGTGCTAGACATCACTGTATGTTAGTCACTCCTCTTCTTCCTCACCCTCTTCCTCCTCATCACTCACGTTACCATCATTGATGTTCAGTTTCAGGATAGAACTTTTGTGCCTTAACACATGAAAATTAAATGTATGTGTTTTGTTCAAAATGTCTTAGTCTTCTACGTGAAGAAAGACTATGCTTCAGATGCCACATGTTTGTTGTGGAATGGTAATGATAAGGCTCTCGGTGAATCTGGCCTCAAGGAGAACAGTGTGTTCAGCCCTCTCCCTCCTATTTGTACACCTTGACAGTCTGTGGCCCAGTGTGTATTTCTGTCTTGTGTCTGTACGGAGTTATTGTTGCATGTGATTGAGTTGACATTTTTGGTGATTTTCATCTTTGAATATTTGGGGGCATGAATATGAAAAATTCAGGTGATTTGTTGGAATTTCCCTAATTTTTACCATTTCTTTCTCTCTCTTTCATTCCCTTCTTCTCATGTGTTGTTCTTAGGACCCAGTACAACCTGCCAGGAAGATTCGTGTGCCAACCAGGGGGTCTGCATGCAGCAGTGGGAAGGCTTCACTTGTGACTGTTCCATGACTTCTTACTCTGGCAACCAGTGCAATGATCGTGAGTATAATCTTTCCACACTACAATTTTTTTTCAAGAGGTCTGAGGGCTTGTTGAAGCCATAAGGGACAAAACAGAAAAGCATATGTCTTCTGAACCATTGATTGATAACTGTCTCTTCCAGAAGCTTGGGAAACAGAGTATTTGTGCAAAGAAACAGTTTTTTTTGCTTAACTATACTAGATAGTCTCCCATTTGCTTAACCTCAGTTTTTTTTTTTTCTTTTTGGATTGCAAAAGCTGTGGCTGAGATACCAATGAGCAAAATGTAAATGATTTAGACAAAATCTTTTTTGGTAAGAGGTTTGGTTCTGCATTAATCAGATTACATGGATAATAATTTTAGGACTCAATTTTCACTGTATATAAATTAAAGTGTATTTATGGAATTAAACTGTTTTCTCAGAGAGTCTGAGTCTAGAGAATTTCTTAGGCTTTCCAATGATGGAGAACTTGAGTGGGGAAAGGTATTTCAAGTTTATTGCATCGATTTCCTCTGATTAAATGTTTTAGTTCTCGGTTAGATTTCTGTATACACAGTCATTCTGTTTATTTCCATATTTCTATTTGAGACTGCATTTTATGTGGATAACTGTGTCTGTTTGCTTCTTATTGGAAAAGAGCCGTGTGGCTTTTATGTGTAGATCATAAAGTGCATTTGTTGATTCAGTTGTGTGGGGAGGCTGTTTTCATGGAGGTAATGGTGCAGATACTTCGTTGCTGTGGTTGTCTATAGAACTTGCATCTCCACTTCATTCCCATGTTATTTTCCTAACTCAGCTATTTTGAAGGCAAACCAATGCTTGTGAACTTCCTGAATACCTGTTGCAGAGAGCATTTGAAGCCTCCTGACTTGGTCCTATGGAGCTTCAGATTTTCTAAATGAGGACCTTGTATTTTAAGCTTCCTTTGTAACTGAAATTTATTCAACTCTTGGTTTTCGATTTAAAAAGGCATGATGTTATCTGGGAAAATAGCGTTCATCTTTTAGTGTGCTCATAGAGCAGCAACTATTGCCTACAATGCCGTGTCTCTCATGTCTGTTGATTTATCCCTGATTCCTTATTCCTCAATGTTTATCATGTATGCAGTTGTCTTCTCCTGCATGTCTCTTTTTCATTTTTCTTGGTAGTTTTTTTTTTCTGCCTCATGTGGTCTCTCATTGTGTTCATATTCACAAAGGAAAAAACTGTGGAATCTAAGAAATGTAGAGAGAATTAAGCTATTCCCACTGATGTGAATATAAGCACAGGCATCTAAATGCCATACAGGTGGTACAGAGTCAAGGAAAGGTTTGGCGTCCAATGGTTCTTGCCACGTATGCTGATGTTCATGAAAATCCTGTTCTCTTACTTATGGTTTGGAAATACTGTTCTACCCTGACACAGGCAGTTATGGACACAGCCAGAGCATTTGCGAAAGTGCTATTTGTTTTTTTGATTCCTCTTATTTTATTGGCAAAGGACTCACTCACTAGGAAAGCTGCTTTTTCCTATGTGGTGATATAATGCTTCTTGATCGTCATCAATTTATTCCTTTTGGCATATATATTCCACTGTGGGTGGAAAACAATCTGGAAGAGACTGAACACAGAGAAGAGGAAAGGTAAGTTATTCTCTCTGCGCAGTCCTCACTCAGAAGGTAAGTAGGCGTTTTTCTATTGGGAACAAGTCCTTCTCTGTCACCCAAGATCAGGCAATGTTTTCTAGTCAAGATGAACTAGGATATGTTCTATCTTTCAATGATTGTGTTTTTGCCAGGAGTGGATTGTTTTATCTGACTTGGATCTTGTGTCGATGTCTAGTGAAGTTTGAGGACCGAAACTGGGAAGATAACAGCGTTCCTTTAGTAGCATTAAATTTTCATGCATCACAAATATTTCCATGGGATTCAGGCTTAGGAGATGTGTTGGGTTTAGGAATACATTTTGGGTTTTATTGTCTAAATGGTATAGTAAAATCTTCTGATTCTGAAAGACCTAGAAACCCAAATCCCTAGGAGAATCAGCTTTCCTCAACCCCTTTTAGAGAGGGGACTCTGTGATGTGATGACCATATGGAAATGAAGTAAGTACATTTTACCTGTAGATGGTTAGAACTGTATAGAATTCCCAAACATAGAATGTGTCTATAAAGCAGAGATACAAACTTTTCATGAGACCTAACCAAGTCAATCAGGAAGATAAGTTACTCAAAATCATTGCAGTGATGACCCTTGTATCAATAGATTAGCGTTCAAGGTGTTTCGGGGTACTTGTCTGATGAAGCCAGCAGCAGAAACAGTTGCTTCAAACCTTGAAAAGTTTTTCACAGCTTTACATCATTGAATATTTTTTCAAAATAACACTTGAATCTTGGAGTTCCTAGTTTCCTATTTTATCCCACTAACATCTCCAAAGTGGAGCTCCCTGTTAGGTGTTCTGTAGCCTTACTTGTGTGAATACATCTTTGGTATATCAGGAGTTGAGTATTAACCCGAGTGTTACCAGCAGAATTGACTAGACCAATCCAAGCCATTAGCCAAAACAGTTGGGAAAATTGTGAAGCAATGGAAGAGTTAAAATAAGCTACTAGAAGAGAAAGAGGAATGATTGAGAAACAGAGAATAGAGAGAAAATCAGGGATTGTATCTTCCACATAAGTGGAAGAGCACAGAAACCATTAGTAATTACTTTGTTGACTTGCATGCCTTAAGTGGCCTGCTTTTGATGTAAATAATAGAAATGAGGATAGCATTATAAATGGAATATCATTAAAGAAATATGGCATTTAGGCAATATATTGAAAATAAATTGCATATCTAAAATAAATTACATTCTTTAAATTGTTCTCCTGGGACTGTATGAATTGGTTACAAATGAAACCTAATGGTAATGGCTTTTGTTATGGGAAAATGTTTTGAATCCCTCATTTTCCATGAGCTATTTCTCAGGGCAGCAAATTGATCCTTAATTAATGAAAATGAAAACATCTCAATTTATTATTGTGCATCCAAGAACAGACACTTGACCGGGTTTTCTGTTTTTCAGATTCAGGTGTTGCACTCATGATGTGTAAAAGGTTAATTAAATTTGGGCATGACTTCTAAAGATTTTTTTTAAGGTTTGCATTTTAGGGTCCTCTTCTAGTGTTGCTCTGTCACTCATGGTCTTTATTTTGTTCTTACCTGTGGTTGGCTTGGCAGTTTGAAGGTGCTGTCATGGAAATGTTGCTCCCAGGACTCAGGGGTACCTTTGAAGACTTTATCGCAACATGAGTAGAAAGCATCTGGGTCATTTTCAATTTATTCTAGCTTACTTTTGGTGACTGTGGAAGGTAGATGTAGACAACAGGTTGAATTTCAGGTTCACTCTTAGAAAGATACAAGGATTGTAAAAACAAACAAAAAACCAGCGTTGTGTAATACCGGCTCTGATTACCTTGTGAAAGAATGACTCCTTGTAAGAGGTAGAAAACAAAAACCATGTGGTTAGAAATCCAGGAATAATCAACGTAGTGTCTTACATAAATTTCTGTATGACTTTCCACTGATTCGTAATGGCAAATTCATAGGTAGCTTCTTTCCTTTAGGTTGACTTCTAGATTGGTTTTATATTACAATGGACTAAACTATTTCAGAAACAATGCTGAGTAAATGTAAAATCCCAAAGATCTGTGGATTCATACGTGGCTTTCTCTGAAGATAATCTTTGCTTCTGAAAACTCATAACTGATAGATCTGGCTCCTTGAAAGACAAATTAATAACATGTTGGGACTACATTTTTTGCCAAGAAGAAAGGGACTCTAAAAAGTGTTTGACAAAGGATGTTTATCTTGGGATATTAAGTTCTTGTTGGTATTTTAAATTAGGACTGACAGCTAGGGAATTCCAGTATATTGTAGCCATTATGCTGTTAGGTCAACCCAGAACTGTATCCCTGTATTGTCTATCAGTAGCACTCTCATCCATGGTCTGTGATGAATTCTCTGTTTTACAGCAGTGGAACTTCTCAAAATCCAAGGCTCTGGTATGCTCCTAAGCTTACACACAAAGCTGTCAGTTTGTGAAAGTAGCAGTTTGAAACATCTCATGTCTCTGCTTACCATTGTTGCCTTTGGCCATGTCCATCACATCTGGTATAATTACATAAAGTTTTCGGATCCCCTTATTGCTTTTGAGCCATAGAGAAGCAAATGTGGAACAGTCTTTCTCTCTTGAGTCTTTGACGTGTGTCAGGTTGATGTGTTTAGGAATCAGGTGGTTAGAATGGTTTTGCGGGATGAAGAGAAGGGAGTGGATGTGGATCTCAGCAGCCAGCTACCCACTGCTAGACTGCTAGTGGTACATTGCAGGCTACTTGTTGCAGAAATTGCTGGGTTCACACTGGCGTGTGATAATAGATGTCCTTGGCTTGCAACAAATCAATAGCAAGCAGCTGTGGGTCGTGCAGATAGTGGAGTGTGAAGCGCCTTTTCAGACAGTTTTCTGCTGGAGTGGCTGTTAAGCTGTGCTGTTGGCTATTGATTGGCCTTTTGCTTTTTATCTATTGCGTCGGCTTATTTATTTCTTTAATGTAGGTCGGCATATTGATTCAATCTGTTAAAAACACATTTCCCATTCAGGCTTCAGAAAAATAAGCAATATGTGCATTACTTAGTGTGTAAACAAGGGGACAGACTTAGATATGCTAATTCTTTCTCCTGGGTTTATCTGGGTTCTTAGGCATTATGTTTGAAGTTGTGTTGTCATGAGCCCGTCTGTGTAGCAATAATTCCCAACCCATCAGAGCATGTTGTGTTTGTGTTTTTGCTTATGTGTTTGTACCTCTTCTCTGTTTTCAGTTTCTGCCGGTCCAACAGTTGGTCATATGTGCGAAAGTCAATAGTAGGGAAGTCGCTTGCTGCTTAGAATATATTGTATTCATCTTTACACACATGATCCACTAGAAATCCCTATTACAGATAGGGTCATAAATAAGGTATCCTCTTCTTAAAGACATTGTAGTCTAATGGGGGAAGATA